GGACTTAACAGTCAGGGGTCCCTTTACCTTTAACTTTACATCCTTCAGAAAGAGGTTTGCATGTGGTTAAAACAGTTAGAGTAAGGACCTCCAGTTTCCTAGGCTATGTTTGTACCTTTGATATCTATGATGGCCTCTCTGTCCTTTGACATTTAGATTGATAGACCTTAGGTTGCATCCAGTCCAGCTTCTGCCTTCCTCTCACTCTTCTCGTTGGATGGCAAGTCGTGAGGTCACCTTCTTTGGCTGTCTCCCTCAGAACAAAGGAAGGCAAGCATGGCTGCTTTTGTTTCCCCAAGTAGTTAGCCAGCTAGGATTATATAACGATCCAAAACATCTAATAATAAACATAAATTTCCTCATTTCATACTAAGTCTCAGTCTGGGTGTATTTCAGTTAAAGGTGTGCTCCAAGCAAGGATTCATTTCAGATTGCACATACCAAAGTGTTGTTTCTATGCATTAGCATGGATGAAATGTAAACTCCATACCCCCAGAATGAACTTACGTTTGGCTCTGTGCCTTGGATTGATCTGACAGAAAATGAGTTTTGCCTGGAGCAAAGCATAAACCATATCTGTCCTACAAGAACAGAAGAACTGACTGAAACCCTGCATATTTCATTCAAGTGTGCAAATATTTGATTAGCGAGCAAGTAGGAACCTAGGTGAGGTTTCTCTAAATGTCTCATCCCAAGGCCTCTTCTTCGCTAAGAGAGGATTAAAAGCAAAGAATGCATACTGAACATCTGTGCAGCAGAATCCACCAAGCTGTGTGGGAAATAGCTGGGCAAGCTGTAGCCCTTTTGTTTCTCATCCTGCACCTGCTGATATAATTCCTAGCCTTGCCATCCCTAAACAGGTGAACCACCCAAGTCTTCTAGGTAATTTTAGACCAGAAATGGGGACTTCGTGACCCTCTAGATGTGGCCAGAACCACAACTCCCATCATCCCTGATCGCTGGCCATCCTGTCTGGGGCTGAGGATTTGGAAATCCAGCAACACCTGTAGGTATCTCACTCCTGGCTTAGAGAATATCGGACAGGTATGATGCAGCTGCAAACTAGCATCTCCCCCACAAGCTAATAACAATTATGTATAGTTTGATGATTACCTCTGAGGAGTTTGATACTTTAAAAGAATGTGTGAGTCGATGCTAGAAAGCAGGATGAAGTGCGCTGATTTACTGCAGCTCCTCATTAAGTTTAAAAGCATTCCACTGTGATGAAGACATCTGCAGCAGTTGGTGCTAGGACTTCCCCCTGCAAGGGACTCGTTAAGTGCCGAAAGGAAGAAAAAAGAAAAGACAAGCAGATCCCACGTTTTAAGCTGAATTCAAGGCCTCTTTAATGAAAACAAGCCCACCCCTTTTCAAGCAAACGGGCATTAATTGCACCCACAACTTTTTCTATATTAAACAATTGTCTGGATTTTATGTTTTGAGTAATAGCACTGACATACTATAAAAGCAGGCATCTAACTGCACTTCCTCGAGGTGTAAGCATCCATATATACTTCTCTCCTGTTTCATTATGGGTATAAGTCTTATTGAATCCATGCTCCTCATCTATTTTACTTCTACGGGTGGGTAAATAAGGCCTTAATGCTGCGCTTAATAAAACAATTAATATTAAATCAATGTAATGTGAATGGGAACCATGTTTGCACAGTGCCTTGCTGCTTGGAAGCCTAGTGTTAACACAGCATTCTCACTCTTTCCAGCACTTCCATATTTGGCACTCTTGTATATGTGGTCAGATCATTGGCTGGTCTGGACCAACATCACCTGCTCTGACTGGCAGCTGCTCTTTAGCATATGAAGCATTTTCTCAGCTGAAATAATCTAACTCAGGTGTCGTCTGTCACCACTTTGACAAAGTTCCCATGATTTGGGGGGGGGGGAGCCATGACAGTTAAAGTGGCACAAGAGTGCCTTAAATGTATGGTTTGGATGTGACCCTAGTGAGCTCATGGTGGAGGGAAAGTTCAAACTAAGGACTTTCTGATTCGTTCGTCAGCTACTCTGCCGCATAATGTGCTTGCTGGAATGTGCTTGCTGGAAAGCAAATTGAAGTGCTCTTAGACCAGAGATTCCCAGACTTGGGTCTCCAGCTCAACGAGATTGTTGCATGAGTGGAAGGCAGCACAATGATTCCTGATAGTGCAATGGGACATTTCCTCCTCTTCTCCTGCACCCCATGCCCTCCTCAGGTCTGTTCCTGGCAGGGGTGCCAATATGAATAAAATATTTGGAGGGTGGCAGCAGCAATTGGCTTATGAAGATGATGGAACATGCTGAGATGGCTAGACTAACTGTGAGAACTAAAGAACAAAATGAGGAAAAATTTCTTGAAGAATGGGAATATTTGGGGGGGGAATAACATGGTTATGTTAAAACATATGCAGGATTTGAAGTATGGCAACGGATGAGAATTGGTAGTTTAATAAGTTCAAATTAGTGTATATAAGTAAGAAAAGAACACCATAGAAAGGTGGATGGGAAGTCAATGGATGTGAGAGATTTGTTCTGAGTGTCGTTGAAAAGAATTTGTAAAATCTGAAAAATTAATAAAAAGGTTATGCAAAGGCAAGAATATATACTGAGAGGCCCAGGTAAGCCCCACCCTGCATCACCGATCACATGAGGTGGTGCACACACACCATTTGAATGGCAATGCCCATCAACTGTGCCCCCACTGGCCCCCTCAAATATTTTATTGGGGGTGAAGGCCCCTTGGCCCCTAGGAGTTGGCTCCTACAGTTCCAGAGGGCCACTGGGAGAGGAGAGAAATGCTTGTGCTGATGGTTTATTGTGTATATTTGAGGTTCCTGAGTATATTTGTTTGAATGGTGCCCCAAATTTCCATCATATCCTCCCTGTCACTTCATGTGGCTAAGCAATATAGTGTGACTGTTGAGGCATCTAGCCAATATGGAGGTCAAGAGGAAGGGATGTAGCTGGGAAAAAATGAGAGCAAGTTCCTCTGGAACGATCTGACAGGAAATGACGGAATGTTGGCCCTATTTTGAAAGAAAAAGAGCCATGGGGGGAGGAGGAGACAAGTTCTTCCTAACCACAGAGCAGTGCCAGATCTCAGTAGGTGAGGATGATGAAATAATAAAGCCTTTCCCGTGCATGTTTTTCATTACCCTTATTTTGTTTTTCTTCCAAGTGCTTTGGAAACAGAACAGAAGGCCCATCTTTCAGCCAGGTCCGTAATGGCCTCCTCCCAAGGGGATAACAGCTGCACAAATAGGAGGGAGACCTCGGTGGAATTGATCCCAACACCTTCCTAATGGAAAGAATCATTTGCTAAGCCCGCTTTATGCCATTGGAACATAATTAGCAGCCAAGGGGGCGAAGGGTTAAAGACCACGCTTCCAACCTCCTTAGGAACGGGGCGAAGATTTAAATGTTTCCCTTCTGTGTTCCAAACAGGTAGCCGAGAAAACAATTGTTTCAAAGAAGTCTTGGCCGGCTGAGTCATGCCTCTGAATCCATTGAATCTTATTAGATGGAAATTAGGTAGTTTGGTGTCAGGGCATAGAAATTTATTAGCAGACTTGCTTGCCTGAATCCCAAACACACTAAAATGAGCCGGGTCAAGGGCCCCAAATTAGTGCCCTTAAAAACGATCCTATAAAGAAGGATTTTTAATAAATAAAATAGAGTTAACAACAACACTATTTATACCCCGCCCACCTGGCTGGGTTGCCCCAGCCACTCTGGGTAGCTTCCAACACATATAAAGACATCATAAAACATCAAGCATCAAAACACAGCCTATTACACTAAATATCCAATACAGTGGTACCTCAGGTTAAGTACTTAATTCGTTCCAGAGGTCCGTACTTAACCTGAAACTGTTCTTAACCTGAAGCACCACTTCAGCTAATGGGGCCTCCTGCTGCTGCCGCGCCGGAGCACAATTTCTGTTCTCATCCTGAAGCAAAGTTCTTAACCTGAAGCAATATTTCTGGGTTAGCGGAGTCTGTAACCTGAAGTGTATGTAACCTGAGGTGTATGTAACCCAAGGTACCACTGTATAGTTTGTGTCTTGGCACAGAAAATCCATAGAAGTCAGTGTCTCATTCTTTGTATCAGGACATATGGGTTTGGTTCCAGACTTGGTTCTAGAAAAGCCAACTTAAATTTTGTCTGGGTTATAGTCTTGATTTTACAAGATGGCTTTAAGCAGAACTTAACTAATGATGGAAGGAGACTACAGCTCATCAGAAGAATAGCTGTTTTTTGCATGCAGGAGGTCTGAGGTCACATCTCCAATTAGGATCAGGCAACAGGTGATGGAAAAGACCCTCTGCTTGAGACCGGCTGCCAGTCAGAGTAGACTCAGCTAGATGGCGTATTAGGTAAAAAGGTAAAGGTAAAGGACTCCTGGACGGTTAAGTCCAGTCAATGGCGACTATGGGGTTGTGGCGCTCATCTCGCTTTCAGGCCAAGGGAGCCGGCATTTGTCTACAGACAGCTTTCCGGGTCATGTGGCCAGCATGACTAAACCACTTCTGGCACAATGGGACACCGTGACGGAAACCAGAATGCATGGAAACACCGTTTACTTTCCCGCCGCAGTGGTACCTATTTATCTATTTGCACTGGCGTGCTTTCGAACTGCTAGGGACAGAGCAAAGGGAGCTCATTCCATGGTGAGGATTTGAACCACCAACCTTCCTATCTGCAAGCCCAAGAGGCTCAGTGGTTTAGACCACAGCGCCACCCGCGTCCCTACCTATTAGTACATGCCTAGTATAAGCAGCTTCATGATGGCTGTGTTTCAGCTCAAGCATCGGGTTGTGGAAGCATTAAGTAGGTTCCCATTAAAATGCAAACCATCCCTACTGCTATCTCACGTGGTTTTGGTGTGCATGCAAATCATGCAGCCAGGTGACAGGAGGTCTTTCTCATCTAATCAGAAACTACCCATTCAATCAGCACAGTCGGTGTTGCTGCAGTTTTGAGAGAGAGAGAGAGAGAGAGAGAGAGAGCTCAGTCGGTAGAGCACGAGACTTTTAATCTTAGGGTTGTGGGTTCAAGCCCCACGTTGGATTCCCGCATTGCAGGAGGTTGGGTTAGATTACCCTTGTGGTTTCTTCCAATGCTTCAATTCTATGATTCTATATCCTACAACTGTGTGAAATTGTGCCAGGCAGAAGTGCTTCCTTTGCTGCTGGGTGCATGTGTAAATAAAGTCTTACAGCACAATTCTACTCAGAAATGAGATCTATTGAATTCAAAAGATCTTACTCCCAGATATAAATGGGGTTAGCCCTACAGTTTTAGCTCTATGGCTATATTTGAGTGGATTCAATCCAGTCCAAATGTGAAATATATGTGGGATCTGGATCTTCACTCAGCAACAGTGAAAAGCTGAGATTTCTGCATTCAGATATTTAAAGCAGGGGCTGGTTTTAAAGTAAGTGTATGATGTGTAAGTGTCAAGGTGTTTTAAATCCATACTAACACTTTTTTTGGCTTTGTTTAATCTATAAGCAAGAATTAAATGAGTCATTCAAGGTAGTGCAATATAGCACCACCAGAAGTTGACAGTGGTGGTACCATACCACTGTCAAAACATAATGTCTTTTCTTCAATACTGATAGGAGTTCCGTAACCTATATGATCAATGTAATTTATCACGAGATTCAAGCAGTGACAGCACATACTTGAGAACAGGCAGATAAAGTTGCAATTATCTTCTCTGGAGGCTGTTGGTCATCCAAGCTTCTCTGTTATCTCTTGTAAGGATTGATTTTAAGCTCCTTGTTCTCTTTGGTATGGTAATGTTTATGTATAGCCATCAAACGCCACTGAATCCAGGGCTCTACAAGACTGTTGGAAGGGTGATCGCATGACAAGGATCAGAGTATTGGGCATCCAATTATTTTAATTCCTCACACTTTAGACACCAAGTATTACCATATTTACTCGAGTCGAACGCTGCACAGTCCTGCTGCATGTTCCAGTCAAGACAGGTCTGTGGGGAGGGGAACAAAAAATGTGTCTTCATTACACCAGTTCCTAGGCCAGGATGGCAGCAGGGATTAGCACCTCATTTTGGAGGATTCCACTGGCTACCACCAATGGAGGTACTGCCAGTGGTAGCTTCCATCCACCATTTTGAAGCGCTCCAGGCTGATGGATCCAGACAGGGCCGAAACATTGAAACCACCTCCAGCATGGCAGTTTGGGGGTTTGGATTGCTCCGTCCCATCTGTGATGACTGGGCACATAATGACTCTGGCCTTTGCTCATCCTTGCTATATGACCAATCACTATTTCCTTAGCTATTCTGTTTCTGTTCTTATGAAGCCTTTCAGTCCCAAACAAATTCATGATTTTGGTGCACCTACATTGGTGCAGTTGCCATGTTTTTAAGGAGACACAGTGTAGAATTTGTGTCATCTCATGCCAGTCCCTGGAAAGGCATTTCCCTTAGTTCATAAAGTGATTACAGTTTATAATGTTTCGTTAGGCCAAAGCTAACCACTGAGGATTGTGCAGGTCACAGCATTGCAGTGAAATCCTTCTACAGACAATGTAGGATTATATCCCTCAGAGACGTTACATACAGAGATAGCACCTATAAATAGTTTATAAAGGACTGATTAATGGTTAATAAAGAGTTTGAAAAATAGGTAATCAATTGTTGTAGATCACTATTGAGTCCAGCCCTTCAATAGGATGCTTATAACCATAGTTTATAACCTTTTAATGCCTGCAACATTTGTCATTATAATCATGTATCTATAGCACACATTTCTTTACTCATGGGTGGTGGTGAATAATTTACCTGTGATCCCCAGCTATCACTGATACCTCACTGAATACTTCACATAAGATAGGTAGACTGCCTGAGGTGACTAGGAAGACAACATTTGCAATAGCACTTCCATGTTTCATTTTCCATGCTATTTTAATTGAAACCCAACCCTTAGTTCCAAGGTGCCTTACAGATGAAATTTCAAAGTTACGCAAACATTGACAAGGGTCAATTTTCAATTAACTCAGTGGAGCTCAGTGTAAGAAAAGCCTGTTGGAACAGGCCAATGACCTACCTAGTCCTGACTCCTGTTCTCACAGAGGCCAAACAGAGGCTTATGGGAAGCCTGAAAACAGGACCTAAGCGCAACAATGCTTTTTGCACTTGTGATGTCCAGCAATTGGCAATCAGAGGCATACTCAATGACAGAGGAGGCAGAACACAGCCATCATGGCTGGTAGTCATCTATCACTACTTCTAGTGGGACAGAATGTTGTTGTTGTTTAGTCGTTTAGTCGTGCCCGACTCTTCATGACCCCATGGACCAGAGCACGCCAGGCACTCCTATCTTCCACTGCCTCCCGCAGTTTGGTCAAACTCATGCTGGTAGCTTCGAGAACACTGTCCAACCATCTCGTCCTCTGTTGCCCCCTTCTCCTTGTGCCCTCCATCTTTCCCAACATCAGGGTCTTTTCCAGGGAGTCTTCTCTTCTCATGAGGTGGCCAAAGTATTGGAGCCTCAGCTTCACGATCTGTCCTTCAAGTGAGCACTCAGGGCTGATTTCCTTCAGAATGGATAGGTTTGATCTTCTTGCAGTCCATGGGACTCTCAAGAATCTCCTCCAGCACCATAATTCAAAAGCATCAATTCTTCGGCGATCAGCCTTCTTTATGGTCCAGCTCTCACCATGCTTTAACTATATGCTGTATGAATAAGTACTCAAACAGCTCAGTACAGTTTCATATAATACAGACACATCAAAAGACCTTACCTAAATAAGGAAAGGTTTCCACTTTGTACTAGTCTGGGGAGAGGGCAAAGGTGCCAGCTTGTGATGGTGACAGAGGGCAGGGCAACATTGCACATGACATTGTGCAAATATGGCATCCTGTCAGTTACTGGCTAGATGAGGAGGAGCGGTGGAAACTGCCTGACCAAGATCCCCCAAGGGAAAGCACAGATTTGGATCCTGGCTCCTGGACAACCGGACACAACCCAGAGGAGGGGAAGAGCTGGGAAGTACTGGAGACGAGAAGCTTGGAAGATGAGGAAAAGGAGGAAACAGGTTGGTGCCCCAGCACAGAGCAAAGACAGGAATCAGACTCAGCAGCTTCACCACAGAGCTACCCAGACAGCTTTTCTGCTGACAGCCTGCAAGTTGCCCCTTCCCAGAACAAGGCGTGTGATGCAGAGCACAGAGCCAGGCAGAAAAAGAGAGGATTCCTAGGGGCTCATAGACAGAAAGAAGGCCCTGACATAGAGGGAGCTGAGTGAAGTGGGAGGTTACAAGCCACTCTGAACAACTGCTTCACCTAGGTGGGAGCAAACTTCAGAGATCCCTGTGTGTTCTCTATTCAGAGAACTTCAGAACTATTCAGAGACCTTCAGAGGTCCCTGTGTGTTCTCTTTAACAAAGAAACTAGCTGGAGTTTCCCTGACTTCCTCTGATCTGCGAATGAGCTGTTCTCCTTGTCAGCTCCCTGACACATCCCTACATCATTTGCACAATGCAAGAACATCGGGAGGAGATGGAGGGCAGAGCCAAATGCGGCAGCTCGGCCTCCTCTTCCCCCTGATTTTTTTCCCTACATTGTGGGGGCCTGTTCCCCTCCCACAAATATGGGGAGCCCCCAAAGGGCTTGCGCCCCATGAGTTGGTGCCCCTGGGAGAGGGTGTGTGGTCTGGTGAGGGGAGGGCTGAAGCCTAAAGAGAGTCCAAAGGGTAAGATATAGAGGCCTGGAAGACCACATTGAGCCTCTGGCCTGAGATGCCCCACCCCTGTTGACTGACTGGCTGCAGCTGCCTGGGGTCTTTTCTAGCCCACCTGGATATGCCAAGGGTGGAATATAAGAAAATCTGCATGCAGAGCTGCACCTCTTCCTTCTAAGCAGCTGTTATTATTACACTCTTACTTTGGAGTTAAGTACAGGTAATAAATAGCAAGGGAAAAAATGCAGTTATTTCTTATCACCTTTATGTGAAACAGATTTATACAACCCTTCTCACTATAAAAATGTATCTCATTTTTTAATAAAAAAAAGAGCTTCATTTGCCAAGGCACTCATTGCATCCAATGACACAGAGTCACATAATTTTCCTCTGAAAAATTCGATACACATTGTATCCCAAGGGTATCTTTTCCTTTCAACCGAATGATTTGTATAATTTCTCACCGCAGGAGAAACAGCATTCCCCAAGTTCTTATTGATAATTGTTGATGATTAGTTATGGATACAAAGAAATGTCAATAGGAACTCTGAATGCTACTGGTTATGAACATACTTCCCCCTCTTTATCAGTGCTATAGCTTTCATAATTTATCTTGGAATAAATGGCTCATTTGCTTTAATAATACAAAATTTGTCTGAGCTCTCAAAACGCTGTCATTGTTTCTCGTACGATTTTAGTCAGGATAGGACCACCATAACAATGAGGCCACCACCAGACTGAGACTCTAGAACGTATGTGTGATGGGATGATGAGCTGCTTGTGCATAAAATCGTATCCCCTCAGAGTTTGTTCAAGTCCACAAACCTCTGTCTGTGACGGAGCCCCTCAGACATGGCTACTCTAGTCACTAGCAGATTCCGACAGTGGTTGGTTTGGTAATCGCTTCCAACATAAAAGCTCCTTAACGGAAACACGTCTTCTGGACTCTCTGCGTGACAGTTTCCGGCGAGGAGTGGGTGTTCTTACAGGAGGTCCTGAAACCTCCCCACTGTTTTCGCTGGAAGTGTCTCTGAGCCATCCCTCCAGCTCACTTTCCCTCCGCTCAGCTCCTCTCCCCTGCTGGTTCCCTCTTCAGCTGCTGAGTCTCTCCCAACCTGTGTGAGCCCTTTCACCTCCCTGCTGGTTCCCTCTTCAGCTGCTGAGTCTCTCCCAACCTGTGTGAGCCCTTTCACCTCCCTTCCGTCCGATGGCAGTTCCCTGACATCCACCTCCCCTCCAGGGCCCCCTTCACCCCCTCTCGCCCCCTCCTCTACGGGCAGTGAGGAGGCAAAACCCCGGAATGAACTTCCTTCATCTTCCGATGTCTCGAACACTTCTCTCCACCTGTTGCGGTTCCT